CAGCGCAGTCTTTAGCATATGTGCCGCTGGGGTGCAAAGATCCGCCCAGCACCCCCAAATTTAGTTTAGCCCCCAAATTAACTTTCGTTATGCTATGTCAGACGCCACGCTTACCCCTTATCTCTTGTTTACGAAAGAAGGGAGGAAAAAGAAACAAACTTTTTTATTTGCTCATTTACTTACAATACACTTATACAACACCACCACGCTTAAACTTATAAGTATTGTTTAGGCACCTACTTAGGAGAAACATCAGTCATGTCAAAGGTGCCACTGACCCCACTGCCGCATAACAGCGCAGCTCAAAACAATACATAACATAACGTTTTGATGTAAGAGTTAATTTTGCAGGCACGGTGCCATTGAGATTGACAAGCGCCGTCGTTGAGTCAAGCGCTGCCGTTGTGAATGACAAGCGCCGCCGCTAGCGCAGCGCGTCCTTGGTAAATGAGCGCACAAAGTCGAAAGTCCTTTAGTGAAACAGTAGGTATACATTTTGGTAATACCTTGGTATATATGTATTTTGTTTTTCCAGCTTGATCAAAATTAATTATTATTTCATAACAGGTAGATCGTTAAGAGCTTAGGTGGCTTCAACAGCGGGTGCCTGGCGCCCCCCAGAATTTGGCACCCGGGTTCCCTGCACCCCTTGCACCCCTGACCCTGCCCATCTATGAGCATCAAGGGGAAGACCGTGGCCAGAGTGGTGAAGAAGGCAGGAGTTTTGGTTTTTTTTAATGATATTTATTAAAATTTCAAAAGAAAAAGATTACATTAATAAGAAAATTAACAATAAAAAGGAAAAATACAAAATACAAAAAAGAAAAAAGAAAAAACAGTTAAAAACAATTCCATCTTTTCATCACTTCTCTTACATTTACTTGTTTCCCGGACCTCCTCATACCTCCCTCTTTTGTATTCCAATTCAATTTGTTAGTCCAGCAATTCCTTTCCCTCCTTTTTAATCCTGATCTTTAATCTTGATATATTATAACATTAAATTTTTACGTATTAAAAACCAATTTTTCCATATTCTTTTATACCATTACAGCTAGAAACTGCTTAACTTCAATCCGTCATCATTCTAACATTCATTAATTTTACAATATTTCTGTAAGTAGTCTTTAAATTTCTTCCAATCTTCTTCCACCGACTCTTCTCCCTGGTCTCGGATTCTGCCAGTCATTTCCGCCAATTCCATGTAGTCCATCATTTTCATCTGCCATTCTTCCAGTGTGGGTAGATCTTGTGTCTTCCAATGCTTTGCAATAAGTATTCTTGCTGCTGTTGTAGCATACATAAAGAAAGTTCTGTCCTTCTTTAACACCGATTGGCCAACTATGCCCAGGAGAAAGGCCTCTGGTTTCTTCAAGAAGGTATATTTAAATACCTTTTTTAATTCATTATAAATCATCTCCCAGAAAGCCTTAATCCTTGGGCACGTCCACCAAAGGTGAAAGAATGTACCTTCAGTTTCTTTACATTTCCAACATTTGTTATCAGGCAAATGGTAGATTTTTGCAAGCTTGACTGGGGTTATGTAGAAGGCAGGAGTTTGAATGTGAGGAACGCCCCTCCACAAAGGGGCGTTTCGGGTCATTATAGTGTGTGTGTGTATATCTCTCCCAGTCCCCACCCCAAGCTGTCATTTATTTTGCCCAACCTGTCCAATGTTTCGCGTGACCAAAGGCGCCACCCCTAATTTCACCCCTACAGCAATTGTGATAACAGCAAATCGAATACTTTCTGCTGTCACCCCCACCCCACCAAGGCAAAGGCTTGAAATTGTGATCTGCTCTGTAATCTTTCGATGAAGGGCGGTATACAAATTTAGGAAATAAATAAATGAAATAAGGCAGCTACCTCTTTCCTACATTTCAGAATTTGTTGCCCCCATAACACTTAAAGAGTAGGGACGCGGGTAGTGCTGTGGTCTAAACCACAGAGCCTAGGGCTTGCCAATCAGAAGGGCTTGCCGATCAGAATCCCTGCGAGGGGGTGAGCTCCTGTTGCTTGGTCCCAGCTCCTGCCAACCTAGCAGTTTGAAAGCACGTCAAAGTACAAGTAGATGAATAGGTAGCACTCTGGCGGGAAGATAAACGGTGTTTCCGTGCGCTGCTCTGGTTTGCCAGAAGCTGCTTAGTTATGCTGGCCACATGACCCGGAAGCTGTATGCTGGCTCCCTCGGCCAGTAAAGCGAGATGAGCGCCGCAACCCCAGAGTCGGCCACGACTGGACCGAATGGTCAGGGGTCCCTTTACCTTTACCTTATCACTTAAAGTGCAGCTACCTCCAACCTTTGAAAAATATGTAGACCCTGAATGAAAAGTCCTGACCCCCAACAGTTTTAGCCAAGTCACTCCTCCCCATAGTATGCTTAAAAACAGTAGCTAAGGGAGCCGTTACAAAAGGTAATGGGATTCAGGGCCCTCCTGTAATGTGACCACTGTACACTACAAAGAGGTTACCCCTCCACATTCAAACTGACTTAACATTCCCCCGCCCCTCTGCCGCCAAAGCACATCAATTTACTCAACCTCCTTACGTGGTCCATCTTGCCTTTATATGACCAAAAAGTTGCCTCTTCTCGTTTCCCCTCCTCCTCCCCTCCTCCCACTTCGCCTCCCTCTCCCACTTCCCAGAACTTGAAGGTCAAAAGCAATATGGGACCCCAGCCACATTTTTCTCCACTATGGCATGGAGTGACCTTCAGCCACGCCGGAGTTCCCCTTTTGTTCCATTAAACGGCATAATTAAGAATTATGGCAGAGCAGGCGTCTCCGTTTCCAGGAAAGTGGCATCATTCTCCTCAAAAATGCAGCCAAGAGAGCAGCCGTATTTTTTGGGACCTTTCCACCGCCTGCCTCCACTCGCAAGCACAATAAACGTCACCGGTATGACAGGTCCTGCTGAACGGCCGTAGATCAAAGACTGCCGCCCCGATCCTGCTGTAGCTACACATTGTGATGGAGACTAGGTGCACTGCATGAGGCGGGATGTGCAAATGGAGGCATGTGCAACCATGAGCACGTGTGACCTCCAGGATCAGAGACGCAATGCTTCTGAAGACCAGTTGCTGGAAATAATGAGGGGGAGAGCTGTCTTGTGCTCATCTCCTGTTCCTGGGCTTCCCAGAGGACACTGTTTGGTCAACAGAATGCTGCCTATATGGCCTAGGACCCTCGTACCTACGAGACCGCCTCTCCTGGTATGTCCCACAGAGGAACTTACGGTCTTCAAACAAAAACATCTTGGAGGTCCCAGGCCACAGAGAGGTTAGGCTGGCCTCAACCAGAGCCAGGGCTTTTTCGGCTGTGGCCCCGATCTGGTGGAACGCTCTGTCACAAGAGACTAGGGCCCTGCGGGACTTGACATCTTTCCGCAGGGCCTGCAAGACAGAGCTGTTCCACCAGGCCTTTGGACAAGGCACAGCCTGACTCCCTCCTTTGGCAATCTTCGCAGAACTCCAGCCCAATGGTTGGCATCAATTTGATTTGAATTAATTTTATAATTAAATGATTTTAGAATGTTGTATTATTTTATTGTTGTTAGCCGCCCTGAGCCCAGCTTCGGCTGGGGAGGGCGGGATATAAATAAAAATTATTATTATTATTATTATTGTGTTGGGAACCTCTGTCCCTCCAGATGTTGCCAAACAACTCCCACCAGCCCTACAAGCATGGCCAAGAAGATCAGACCTCTCCATTCTTAAGGAAATCAGCCCTGAATGCTCACTGGAAAGACAGATCATGAAGCTGAGGCTCCAATACTTTGGCCACCTCATGAGAAAAGAAGACTCCCTGGAAAAGACCCTGATGTTGGGAAAGATGGAGGGCACAAGGAGAAGGGGATGACGGAGGACGAGATGGTTGGACAGTGTTCTCGAAGCTACCAGCATGAGTTTGACCAAACTGCGGGAGGCAGTGGAAGACAGGAGTGCCTGGCGTGCTCTGGTCCAGGGGGTCACGAAGAGTCGGACACGACTAAATGACTAAACAACATGCAGACAGTGGCGAGAGAGAGAGAGAGGTTTTGCTGTCCCTCCTGTAACACTAGAACTAGATAGCTGGCGAAGCTGAATGTTGGAAGATTCAGAACAAAGTCCTTCTCCCCACAGTTAAACTGCCTCCCACGGGAAGTAGTAATGGCCATCAACTTGGATGGCTTTAAAAGAGGATGAGACAAATTAATGGTGGTTAAATCTATCACTGGCTACTAGCCATGACGGCTGTGTTCTGCCTCCAATGTGGAAGACCTCTGAATGTCCGTTGCTGAAACCAGAGGCCTTTCTCCTGGGCATAGTCGGCCAAACGGTGTTAAAAAAGGATAGAACTTTCTTTATGTACGCAACAACAGCAGCAAGAATACTCATCGCAAAGTATTGGAAGACACAAGAGCTCCCCACACTGGAGGAATGGCAGATGAAACTGATGGATTATATGGAACTGGCGGAAATGACTGGTAGAATCCGTGACCAGGGAGAAGAGTCGGTGGAGGAAGATTGGAAGAAATTCAAAGACTATCTGCAGAAACATTGCAAAATTAAAGAATGTTAGAGTGATGTTGGATTGAAAATAAGTGGCTTCTAGCTATACAGGCTTTAAAGTTATATATAGATCAAGATTAAGGATTAGGATTAAAAAAAAAAAGTTAAAGGAAATGGAAATTTGGTTTTTAAGAGGTAAAAATTTAAGGTTATATTATATTAAGATTAAGGATTGGGATTAAAAAAGAGGGAAAGAAACTGCTGGACAAACAAATTGAACTGGAATACAAAAGAGGGAGGTATGAGGAGGTCCAGAAAATAAGTAAATTTAAAAATGGTGATGAAAAGGTGGTATTATTTTTAACTGTTTTCTTTTTTGTCTTTTGCTTTTTTTTTTTTGGATTATGTATTGTGTATTTTTGAATTGTGTATTTTTCTTTCTTATTTTTAATTTTTTTTATTGATGTGTTGTTTTTATTGGAAACCTTAATAAATATCATTTAAAAAAAAAAAATGAATGTCCGCTGCTGAGAACCACGACTGGGGAGAACTGCCATTGCACTCGAGTCCCGTTTGCTGGCTCCCCATAGGGGCATTGGATTGGCCACTGTGAGAACAGGATGCTAGACTAGATCGGCCTTTGGCTTGATCCACTTGCAGGGCTCTACTTACGTTTATATGGATTTGGAGAGGACTAAGATCACATACAAGGGACGCAGGTGGTGCTTTGGGCTAAACCGCAGAGCCTAGGACTTGCCGACCAGAAGGTCAGTGGTTCGAATCCCCGCGACGGGGTGAGGTCCCGTTGCTCGGTCCCTGCTCCTGCCAACCCAGCAGTTCGAAAGTGCGTCAAAGTGCAAGTAGATAAATAGGTACCGCTCCAGTGGGATGGTAAACGGTGTTTCTCTGCGCAGCTCTGGTTCGCCAGAAGCGGCTTAGTCATGCTGGCCACATGACCCGGAAGCTGTACGCCGGCTCCTTCCGCCAGTAAAGCAAGATGAGCGCCGCAACCCCAGAGTCAGTCACTACTGGACCTAATGGTCAGGGGTCCTTTTACCTTTACCTAAGATCACATACAGGTAAATTCATCAGACTAGGCCTCAGCCACAGGTTGCAGGTTTCCCCAAAGTCCCACTTTCACAAATTCCACTTTTACTTATGCCCCTGGAAACAGCTACGTGACTACTACTATCTAGCTTGTTTGGGATTGCAAGGGCAGTGGCCAGCGACACATTGCCAAAGATTTATTTCGGTAGAAAGGAGTTCAGGGTATTTATTATATATCTATCTATCATCTACCTAGATTTATATAAAGTGGAACCTCGGGTTAAGTACTTAATTCGTTCCGGAGGTCTGTTCTTAACCTGAAACTGTTCTTAACCTGAAGCACCACTTTAGCTAATGGGGCCTCCTGCTGCTGCCACGCTGCCGGAGCACGATTTCTGTTCTCATCCTGAAGCAAAGTTCTTAACCTGAAGCACTATTTCTGGGTTAGCGGAGTCTGTAACCTGGAGCGTATGTAACCTGAAGCGTATGTAACCCGAGGTACCACTGTACTGCTTAATAAAAGAAACCCATCTAAGTGGTTTACATTAAGCAATATAAAATATTAACAAGAAAATACTGATAGCATTAAATACAAGTAAGACATAATACAGGTATGAAGACAAGTGGATAGCTCAGTTGATTAGGGCGTGGTGCTGATAATGCCAAGATTGCAGGTTCAATCCTCGGATGGGACAGCTGCATATTCCTGCATTGCAGAAGGTTGGACTAGATGACCCAATGAAGGAGAAAGAGGCCCTGTTCTTATCTTATCACAACAGCCCTGATGAGACAGGTCCAAGTAAGCACAGGCGGTGATCACGCTCCGCACATACACAGTACTAACCGCAGTCACGAGCTTCCCTGCTGATTAGCACGTCCTGAGCATGCGGTGTACATGACTTGGGCACGAGCACAGTCAGTACATGGGGGGCTGGACACATGAATGGGATAGGCTCAGGAGGCTGAACAGGGCAGGGAAACCAATGTATAAAAGGCTTTGCATGACCTGTATGTGTGTGCCAGACTTTGGAAGCGATTCCACTGGTACCTGCTGCGCAGTAACCGAATAAACTTTTTCTCTGTGGAATCACACCCTGGCGTTGCTTGACTCCTTCATGCTCCTGGCGAGGGTACGAGGTGACTGGACCCAGACCCAAACTTAAAGAAGGCTACACCTCAACTCTACAATTCTGTGATCTGAGTCAGGCATAATCCAATTTATCAAAATATAGATAAAATCAATGGTTTTATAAAACAAATATGCCTGAAACAGTTGCGTGCCTGGTGTAGGCTTGTCTAAAGACCAAGCTTCTTAGCATGGGTTGAAATGGGTTTACCAGCTGATCGGCAAATAGGCTGCCCCTGTGCCTTTTACGGCAGCTTGGCCCCAAAAACTTTTCATGGCGTAGAGATGAGCTTGGTAGCATACTAACATCTGCAGGTCAAAGTGCCATGTGGGGCATAGGATCAGGGGCCCGTCAAAAAGCTGGCAACCCCACGCCCAAGTAAGTGCTCTTGAAACATCTATGTAAATTCAGTTGCTAATTCCCTCCCCACGAAAAAAAAAATCATCTCCTCCCACCCCCAACATGTCACAATTTCACCAGGTCATAAATACCTGGGTGAGGTGGGGCTTCCCTATCAAACCCATAAGCACAAAAGAAGCGTAAATTTAGCGAGGTTGCTGAGCAAAGGGGGTGTGGGTCTGGGAAAGCAAGCAAAGAGAAAACAAATTAAATCTGAATAAAAATATGATTAGCGCCGGGGATGGGTGGATGACAAATTAGAGCTCTAAACTTTGCAATATAAAGCTATTTCCCATGATAAATGTGCCCAGACAGTAATCAATGGCTTTAATCCATACGATGGGAAATAGCGTCCTAGAGTCTTGATTTGGAGTTTGGAGAAGGGTGGCGGTTTTCCCAAAGACAAATGTTTTCTCCATTGACCAGCCCAGGCTGGAACGGGTGGCGAACAGAATTTAATTACCAGGTACCCTCACAGCGCGATTCATTCTTCCCTCGGAATGAAACTTCATTGGCAAGATGGATGGCTCCTGTTGATGGGTGCCGAACGCAGTTCAATCTTAGCCAGATTTATGGCCTGTAGAAATTTCACTAGATTTGTTTTGTTAAAAAAAAGAGAGAGGGGGGAGTAGGAGTGTGTGTGTGTGCGTTTGTGTGTGTTGGGGACTGTAGCAGGCACAAGATTTCACTCTCATAACTGATGGATTGCTGCCAATCCAAAGTGTGATAATCTAAGGGCAGAATTTAAGGCTCTGAACTTCCATAATCTGCTCTGGGATTGAAACTGGGACTAATGGTCAAAAACCCACCACCTATTTTCCTTTACATCACCATCCAGATGTTTTTGACTACAACTCCCATCGGCAGAGGACATATTTTGCTCCGTGTGGACCACAAACAGCATTCCGGGCAGGCCTTGAGCCAAAAAAATTATGGTCGCACGACCTAAAGGGCCGGAGGAAACAACTGCAGAACTTCCAGAACAGAAATACAGGTAGCCTAATATTTTTAAAGTTCTCTGCTGGTGTTACAATTGGGTGAGCAGTTGGGTTGCATCTGCATGGACCTCTCCCATTATATCTTCACAAGCAAAAGAGAGTAAAGGCTTACTTCTCAAAAAGAAGGGCAAAAGTCCAGGGAGGGACGTAGAATATTGCCAAGGGAGTCAGATCCTTAGCTCCACACCTCCACAACTATAGCCCTGGTTCCAGACTGGAAATGATCCTTATATATAGGAATTTCTGACTGTCAATCGATCTGGCTGCAGTCTTGAGGACAGAGATGGAGAGGGCTGCCCACTTAGGAATTCCTGACCTGGAAATGTAGCAATGATTGGAAATTTGTTGACGGATATTGCTGCTTCTGGTCTCATAGAAGTGATCTTTACTTGCCATAGGTGACCAGGGACGTACTGCAGGATCTGATTTCTTTCCGCAGGGCCTGTAAGACAAGAGTTGTTCCGCCTGGCCTTTGGCTTGGAATCAACTTGATCCCCTCCCCCTCTTTCCTTTTTCCTTTCTCCTTCTGTGATGGAACTCCTATTTGGGGACTACCCTGGATTTTTTCTGGCCCACGTAGGACCAGTCTGGATAGTTGGCCTTGGTGAAGATTTGACGTTTTCATCCCCCAAAAAGTTTTTGATTTGAGTTTCTACTGAAATGAGGCTGCATTTTAATGTTGTATTTTAATCTTGTTTTTAAGTTGTATTTTAATCAATTGTTTTTATACCTGGTGTTAACCGTCCTGAGCCCGGTCTCGGCTGGGGAGGGTGGGGTATAAATAATTTATTATTATTATTATTATTATTATTATTATTATCTACATGGATCTGCATTTGGGACCTTACTTTTGCATGTTAATGAATTCAGAGGAAGAGTCACTCTTATCCATGGTTTCTTGCACAGATTATGCTTCACCCATGTGTTGCAAACATAGATGGTCGCACTTTGCGCCATCCTGGTGGAGCATATGATAGGCTGAAGCTCGACGAGTGCTTAAGGCTACCTCATTAGTCTCCAGTGGGTGTGCACCTCCCACATAGCAGGTACAGTGGTACCTCGGGTTACATACGCTTCAGGTTACAGACTCCGCTAACCCAGAAATAGTACCTCGAGTTAAGAACTTTGCTTCAGGATGAGAACAGAAATCGTGCTCCGGCGGCGCGGTGGCAGCAGGAGGCCCCATTAGCTAAAGTGGTGCCTCAGGTTAAGAACAGTTTCGGGTTAAGAACGGACCTCCGGAATGAATTAAGTACTTAACCCGAGGTACCACTGTACTGCAAGAGAGTGAGGCCTATGGCATCAGCATAGCAAGAAAGGAGATTCTGACTGAACACTGGCAGGAAGAGCGTTTGAAAGTGGAACAGATTCCCTCGCGAGGTTGTGGACTCTCCATCCTTGGCAGTTTTTAAGCAGAGGTTGGGTGACCACCTGTCATGGATGCTTGAGATCCCTGCATTGCAGAGGGTTGGGCTGGATAACCCTTAGGGACCCAATCCAACTCTATGATTCTGTTGTCACAGGAACAATCAGCTGTCTTATACTGAGGCAGACCATTGGTCCAGTCTAGCTCAGACTGGCAGCAGCTGCTCTCCAGGATTTCAGACAGGTGTCATTCCCACACCTAGCTGGAGATGCTGCCAGGATTGAACCCCGGGACCTTTTGCACACTGCGCACGTGCTCTGCCACTGAGCCACGGATCTTCCCATTGAACCACAACCCTCCCCGCAAATATTTTTGCCGGTTAAATTTTTTTTTGGGGGGAGGCGGTTTTGCAAAGGAGGGAGGCGGGTGGTAAGGAAAGCGGGAACAGGAGCAGGGCAGAGCTGGAGAAGGGCAAGGGCTGCGTGTGCCTCAAATTGGGGAAGGGGAGAGAGTGGTGAATATTTGCAGAGGAGCTTTCCACCACCAGCCGTCCCTGCTATAATGAGGGCCCTGTGAAAATGACAGAGGATGTCTGGGAAAAGAGGAGGGGGCTATTAAGCCGTCAGCAGAGACACGGCAAGGGTGGGTGGGGGGCGGGCCCCCCTGTGTTTCATGCCTGGCTTCCTCCAGGCGGTTAATTGAGCCGTCTCATTAAGGGGAAGGGAAGGGGGGGAACCTTGACAGCTTTGGAGCGCTAATTCCTTAATGGGTCCCTCCTCCTTTTGCTGTCAGATTCTGGCATTGTACACCCCCCCTCTTTTTTTCTAAAAAGGGAAATTAAGGAGAAAAATCCCACTTGTGTGAGAATTTGCGTCAGCACTGACTATCCACGAGGAGCCTATGTCCCTGCTAAGTCCGTACAGTGGTACCTCGGGTTGCATACGTTTCAGGTTACATACGCTTCAGCTTACAGACTCCGCTAACCCAGAAATAGTGCTTCAGGTTAAGAACTTTGCTTCAGGATGAGAACAGAAATCGTACTCCGGCGGCACGGCGGCAGCAGGAGGCCCCATTAGCTAAAGTGGTGTTTCAGGTTAAGAACAGTTTCAGGTTAAGTACGGACCTCCGGAATGAATTAAGTACTTAACCCGAGGTACCACTGTACTGGCACCCCAGTCTGAGTGCCTCTGGGCATGTGGGAGGCAAAAGTTGCCTTGCGTTTTACAAAGGGCCCTAATAGCAGCACTGCCCCTGAGCATGTGCAGAGTTCAGTGGAGTCGGCGTTTGGTGGAAGAGTACGTGCTTTGCAAATGTAAGATCTCTGATTCCATCTCTGGCAGCACCTCTAGTTTAAAAGGGTCTTAGCGGAAATATGAAAGCTAATAGTCCCAGACCCTGGAGAGCCATTGCCAGTCAAAGAAGACAATATAAGGACTAGATAGGCTATTGGTTTGCATCAGAAGGCGGGTCCACACTTATTACTTATTTCAGGTGCTTACAGGTGGACGTTCATTGCAAGACAGGTGTCCCACATCCATGCATTTATCCGCCTACAGCATCCATGCACAACGTTGTTGTCATCAGAATGCCAGCTCAAATTTCCCGCTCTCTTTATTCTGGGTTTACCCCTTCTAGTTTGCATCTGATGGTGTTTTTTGTATTAAAAAAAACTTGTTGCAATACCCGAATAACCTGTTCGCAATATTAAGCCCCCACCTGGAAGCACCCCGGTGACTTACAGAAGGCAGTTTCCAGTGCCCTTGTTCTGTTAGCACGAGGATTTGAGTTGCGCAACGGTTCTCTCTTGCCCAACACACCGCCTGCTTCATGCATACACCACACCCTCCTCAAATCTGCTCCAGATGGTTGGGGGGAACCCCCCGGAAAAGATTTAGGGTCTGCATGGGGAGAGGAGAGTGAGGAAAGTTCAATTGCACAAGCATAAATCCTTGCGTTGATGGGATGAGAGACAGCGCTTGGATGCAAGGCAGAGTTCCAGAGGAATGCCAGACCAGAACTGGAAAGATCTGGGTTTTAATCCTTCCTCAGCCATGAAGCTTCCTGGGTGCCCAGTTGCCTGTCCCTCACTGTCAGCCTAATCCATCTCACTGGGTTGTTTCAATGATAAAATGGGGAGGAAAACCATATGTGCTACCTTGAGCACCTTGCAGGAAAAGTGGGATATACAGTGGTACCTCTGGATGTGAACAGGATCCGTTCCGGAAGCCTGTTTGCATCCTGAAGTGAACGCAACCCACGTCTGTGCATGCGTGGGTCATGATTTGCCGCTTCTGCACATGCGCGTGACATCATTTTGAGCGTCTGCGCATGTGTGAGCGGTGAAACCCGGAAGTAACGTGCTCCGTTACTTCCGGGTCGCTGCGGAGCGTAACCTGAAAACGCTCAACCTGAAGCACATTTATCCCGAGGTATGACTGTATATAGGGAGGCGGGTGGCACTGTGGGTTAAACCACAGAGCCTAGGACTTGCCAATCAGAAGGTCGGCGGTTTGAATCCCCGTGACAGGGTGAGCTCCCGTTGCTCGGTCCCTGCTCCTGCCAACCTAGCAGTTCGAAAGCACGTCAAAGTGCAAGTAGATAAATAGGTACCACTCCTGCAGGAAGGTAAATGGCGTTTCTGTGTGCTGCTCTGGTTTGCCAGAAGCGGCTTAGTCCTGCTGGCCACATGACCCGGAAGCTGTATGCCGGCTCCCTCGGCCAATAAAGCGAGATGAGCGCCGCAACCCCAGAGTCGGCCACGACTGGACCTAATGGTCAGGGGTCCCTTTACCTTTACCTATGACTGTATATGCAATAAAACTGGCTCCCTGACTCCAAGGAGCTTACAGTCTAAAATGGGCTGAGGGAACCACTTAAAAGCTTGCATTTTCCAAAGTTTGCAAGGAGGGATGGAAGTGGCTTTCGCCAAGGGCACAGCCTAGCAAGGACACCGTGTTAGCCACTGCGTGGGCGGTTGTGTACTGTGCTGGGGACAGTGTTCTGAAAGCTTTTAATGACTCTGCCGGGGAGGGTTGGGGTGGGCCGTTCCCCTGGCACTCCTCAGGATGATTTTACAGCTAAATGCAGACCCTGGCTGGGTGCCCAGCAAGGAGAGGAGGGGAAGAAATGTTTTATAGCTTGAACATGGTGAGGACGATGGCCTGTTTTCTCTTGCGGTTCCGACTCCATCCTGCATTTCTCTCTGACCTTCCCAGGGCGACCCTTGAGGGCCTCTGTAGTTTCTCCCTATTACACAGACAGGAAGACTGAGGCTGAGGATACTTGGCCAGGGTATCTAAGGGTGCACATTCGCCACCACATGAATGCAGATTAGTCATGCACTGAGCTACTTCTCAATACCTTCCTGTTTTACTTGCGCTCCGTTGCTAAAGAGTGGTATAAAGAAATGGATTTGACCCCACGGTTTTAGTACTGTACATGCTTATGGGGATTCCAATGTGTGTTAGCATCTGTGCATATAGATCCAGGTGGTAGCTATAGGCTTGAAAAAGTACCCTGCTAGTAAGACACAGGGCTGGACACATA